CCATCGTTGTTCTGATCCTCCATTCTGAGACGACAGGGGCAAATCGGATGACTTCAGACTAGAGTTTTGTCCAGTAACAGAAGCAGCCCTTTGAACAGGCTCCATGTGTGACAAGGAGTCCATCGGCTCTTGCTTGATTGTTCGGTTGTTGAAACAGTTTGCATTTTGTGCAAACGGCAGGACTTCTGCAGGGACTGAGTTAGACCTCTGAGGCATAGCCACTGTTTTACCTGTATGCCTATTGCCTCTCTCATAGGTGCGCTGGTGATGGGTTTTGCTTTGTACTGTGGGAGGGATTTCATCCACCAGTTCAGAATTCCTGAATGCATGGCTCAAGTTGTCTTGCAACATCTGAACATCAGGCTTTTTCTCATAGCTGTTGCTTAGCCAAGGTGAGGTCCTCGTATCACCGTAATTCAAAAACTGGGAGTGGAACATATGATTGCTGGAAAATCCATAGTACCCAAAAGATGGAAGTGGGAACTTTGAATGCAACCCATTCATGGAAGGCAGATTAGGCTGTGCATAGTAGGAATGGTAAGAGTAAACACTGTTCATACTGTACGGGTCAGAGGGCCTGCAGTTCCCCAGCACAGAATAGCTTTCCACCACAGCATTTCCATTGTATTTGAAATTGTTGAAATGATTCGGAGGTTCCACCTTGATGGAAGGTTTGACTGACTGCTGCGGGAATCCACCTTTCAAGGTTGCATCTGTGGACACAGCACCAAAGTCAGGGTCAGTTTGCAGAAATAGCATCACTTCCTTAGTACAAATCTTTGAAGACAGAAGCTGTACCCTCAGCTAAAGGTCACATTCACACTATGTCTGTGACTCTTATGTCTCTTGCCTGAGTGTTAAGGTGGATACAGACGACCATTTACCAGGTGGTGATTTACCACTGTATGCATATAACAGCTGGTAAGCTGATTGTCTGTGCTAATAGGCAAGGAGAATTTCACCACCTTCTGAGCCGATTAAAAAATCTGGGAATTTTCCTCCTTCCCCCTGTGTGCTTCTTCTCTTCCAATGTCTCAGTTGCAGAAGACCTTATTTAGCAACTATGGCACTGCTCTGAGTTGCTGCAACTGTGTGCAATATCCTCTTTTCTTTTTTTTTTAGTGCCCTCAGGGACTGGTAGGCAAACCACACAGTCCTGCAAAGCACACCCCAGCCACATGACTTCCTTGGCATGATCCTCTTAACAGTCCCTTAACAACTGGAATAGTGCTATTGTCTAATCCCTACAGGGTAAAGATGAGGCATAAATGAGTAAATTTTGAAGTTGTGCAAGTAACTTTTCTGAGGGCCAGTTCTTTGGTAACGGAGAACAGATTTCGTTTCTTGTCCGCGGGGCCTTGCTCACAGTACTGAGGATTCCTTTTCTGCATTTCACTTCTGCCACCAAAAGCAAGGAAGTGAAACTGACAAGGACCATTCACTGAGTCATGTAATACACTAGTGGTTTTCAAACCAAATTCTGATGAATCCTTAAGTCTCATGGTAGTTTTTTTAAAGGTAAAGGTTTCCCTTGCTCAAAAGCCAGTCAAATCTGACTCTAGGGGGCAGTGCTCATCTCCATTTTCAAGCTGAAGAGCCAGCGCTGTCCATAGACATTTCCATTGTCACGTGGCCGGCATGACAAAACGCTGAGGCGCATGGAACGCTGTTACCTTCCCACCACAGTGGTACCTATTTATCTACTTGTAATTTCTTGCTTTTGAACTGCTAGGTTGGCAGGAGCTGGGGCAGAGACAGGGAGCTCACTCTGTCACGTGGCACTAGGGTTTTGAGCTGCCAAATTACAGACTTTCTGGTTTGCAGCTCAGCGTCTCCACCTCTAAGCCACCGCGGCCCCTGGTAGTTTCTTAGGGTCTCCTAAATAGTACATCAAGAATCTTAGCCCACCATTACCAATCTTCCCCTCCAATGTGCATCTACTAGAGAGCATTGAGTACCTCCCAGATTGCACTGTCAGGACAGAGAGGGCAATGAGAAGACCAAACAAGCCTGGCTAGGACTCCAAGTTAGCTGACGGGGCTCTAAATGATGTCCCAGAATCCTATGCAAATGTGCAAGGTTTCCACTACTGATGTGCCTGGGTACCTTCAGAAAAAAGCTGTCACAGAAAGCATTTCCTGAAAACAGGAAGTGAAAAGTGATGCTAGTGAAGAGTGTAACCAAACAACAGCTGCATCACCAGTCCCCCTCCATAAGCTAACCTAGGAAGAATAACGTATCAAAAGCAAGGGATGGGGCACGACAGAAGTCAGCCTTCAGGTTGTGAGCCCTGCTGTCCTTACCTGCATTCTGCTGGAGTGGTGGGATCTCAAGGACTTCCTGCTTGATTTTCTCAGGTGTAATCAGCTTCTCTTTCTGCATCTTCTTTTTCTCTGCAGCTGCCTTCCTGGCTTCCAGTTGCCTCTGCCTGCAAGACTTGGCTGGCTCAGGAAGCTTCCTGACTTCCCTTGGAAAGGAAGTGAGCACCTGGATTGCCCCACTGCCCACCTTTGCGGCTTGATTCTCCTCACTGCCAAACTCATCTGTAGGGGACATTTTATACAGTGGAAGGACGTGCAGTTGTTCATCCTCAGGGATCTGCCCAATGGTACGATTGTCTTCTTTTGTCAGGGTACACACCTGTGGGCAAAGAAGGCACTTGTAATGCAATATGGAATACGGGAAACCATGATCACAATCCAAAGAGCTAATTTAGGGATGCCTACAAGCTTGTGCTCAATCAGCTCTTTGTGCTGTAACACAAACTGCTTTTCCAACTCAGTTTCAAAATGCCTGTTTAACAAACACAAGACTAAAGATCTTTTGCACAGTTTTTGGATTTCTGGTCCAGAAAGATTCCGATTCAAGATGAAATCACTCATTACAGAGTTGAACAAATGCTTTCATTTCACTTGTGCTATGAGCGTTAACAACTGGTTATAAATCGCCACAAACTTTTATTAAGGCAAAGGGCTTCTCTAATTTTATTTTCCCAAGCCCCATTTCAGGGGTTCAGGCCCAAGGCAAGTTCCACTCTGTAGCTCCATGGATAAAAAAGCAAGTATGTGCACAAAGCCCCCTTGACTGGATCTACTCAAGTCCATCGCTATATGTTTCACCACTGCAATTTGAAATGAACTCAAGGCACACTGGGTTTGCCCCAAAAATTCTGAAAATTCTTTGTAATTTCTAGTCCTACCAAAAAAACCCCACAACCCATGGATGAATGGATGGATTGCATTAATAATATCCATCTTGGTGCTCTCCCATCCAACAGGAACAATTTTCACAGAGAAATTAAGAAAAAAACACCTCAGTGCAAGGATGCTTTCTTACCACAGTGCACCCATTATAGAGGTTATGCTGATCCTTGTGAGCATGAGCACAGAAGTCCATACATGCTGTCACCCCAGAAAAGGGCCTCCCCTCTTTCAGTCCAAGCCGACAGTCTATTGCTATATCTTCATTGTTAACCTAATTTTAAAAACACAGAGAAGCAGTTTTAGCTACAATGAGAACAACAGAGTGTAACAGGACAAAATGGCTAAAATCAGAGGGTGTGAGATGACCCCAACAAATGCTACAGCATCCCTCTGCCTTCTCTTACAGCATATTTCTCTGTATGAAGTCTCCCATGTGCTTGTCTGATTTAAAAAAAACAAACGAAAAATGCTTACTGGTTGCGGCAGACAAAGACTTCTATTTTGACAGAAAGGGCAGTGAGACTGTATATCATAAGCCCTCCTGGAGGATGCAGGGTCACACAGAGACATGCTGCAGTTCCCAATAGGATGCTTCCTGGGGTGGGGGGAAGTTGGCCTGTCCTGGCCAAATCTGGAAGTGGGGGTTAAATTTTGCCTCACCGTAGCACTGCAGCTCTTTAATTTGCCACAGGAATGAATGGCGGGCATCAGAAAAAATGAAAGGCTGCATTCAGGAACATCTCTGGGGCAGGGGCTAGCTTTGTTCTCTGTCCCTGTGAGTCCCAGCATCTAGTTTAGCCTTCTCTCACCTACATCACAAACTACAGCTCATTTTACTTTGCCCCATCATGACTTCTGCTACTTGGCCATACTAGGCTGTAAAAAAAAACCACCTTGGGAAATTGGCTTCTCAGTACTGATTCCTGCTAAAGCGAACAGCAGACGAATGGGAAGGTAATCTCCAGCACCTGATTTTGATAAGCATGGGGTGCCAGCCTCTTATAAAGTGGGGCAACTTCTGTGGCCAGGTCCTGGAAGCTTCTTCTGAGAACTTCTTCCTGCAATGAGAATCAAAGTTTGCTCATAAACATATGATGCTACCTTCTAAGGAAGAGAACTGCTGGCCCTCTAGGCCACCTCTAACCACCCTGAATGGCAGCAGCTTTCTAAGTCTTCCCACCCAGAGAACTTTCCTAACTCTGATACCTGGGTGCAACTGCAGATGCCAGAAACTGGATTTTATGCATGCACAGTGCATGCCCTACCACTGAGTCTCTGCTCTTTCTCCCTAGAGCAGAATAACAGAAAAACAGATGCAATGGGATGTACACAGAGCTTAGAGGCTGTACAGGCCTATTAGGATGGTGCTGGTAGTAAGTCCAAGATTCTCCCGGTGGCTAAAGACACGGCCACCATTGTAAAGACAGGAAGCAATTAACCTCACCACAATCCTTTTTGGCCACTCACTACTATTCCCATTTTATAGATGCTGAAAGGACCAAGTCTAAGAACATGCTGGAAATCAAATCTGGGGTCAGAACTGAGATCATTCTGTTCAGGAATAAGACTGTATTTCTGGTGATAGCGACTGCTGAGATGGCTTGAAAAGGAGAATGTTTGTGTAGTTTGCATCAACTTTATCCCTGATATGCTATTATTCTACATGCAGGGAGTTGGAGGGTTTTGTTTTCTTTTTTTAAATAAAGCCAGAAAGTCAGTTCAGGATGCTCTGGACCAGTGTTCCCTCTAAGGTGAGTTAGTGTGAGCTAGCTCACAGTTTTTTAGCCTCCAGCTCACACTCAGGAAGGATGGCTCCATAGCAAACTAATTGTCAGATAGGCCTCTAGCTGCCATGGAGTGGGGGATATCTTTGGAATGTTAGATTTCTTTTCTCTGTGCCTTCAGTGTTTCTTTATCTCTGTAACATGAGCATTTGGCCTCGGTGTCTAGCATCAGCTTTCTTTTGGGAAACTATGCCTGTTAGCTTTGGCTGGCTCCCAGCCATCAGAGGACCCTCTTGAATTTCGTATATCTGCTTGCTTCACGCCCTTATTGCCAGTTCTAACACAAGATGTGTAAAGATAATCTGCATACTTCAACGTCTCAATAAACTTTACTTCTTTGTATGAAAGTTGTTGGGAACTGATTGCTGCAGGAGTCTGACACTAATTTATGCAGTAGCCAAATCGCTCGCTCACAACTTTAATGCCAGTAGCTTACAAAGTAGGATTTTTGCTCACAAGACTCCACAGCATAGAGGGAGCACTGGCTGTGACAGCTTAGAGCACTGGGCCTAAGATGAGTTAGTGTGAGGTAGCTCACAGTTTTTTAACTTCTGGCTCACACATTTTTGTCTTAGCTCAGGAAGGAGGGCTCCAGAGCAAACTAATTTATGCAGTAGCCAAATTGCTCGCTCACAAAGTAGAATTTTTGCTCACAAGACTCCACAGCTTAGAGGCAGCATTGCTCCGGACCTAATGTTCAACTGAAGAAGGGGAAGGCTGAGGTCTGAATACAGCCTCAATTTACATTATTTAAATCTTGTCCTGTCTGCTGGAACAAAGCTCTCTCATCATCCACCATGACCAAGTCAGGTGTGTATGACTCACTCACCTCACTGGGATTGTCTCCTATTAGTCTGAATTTTCTAGGAGTTTTGCTTCGAGCATATTTGCACCCGTTGAAATACATGCTCCAGGAGCAACCAAAAGAGAAAGAAGCACCACAGGTGTTGGGGTCCTTGCCTTGACATGCACAGGTTCGGCTGGAAATAAGTACAAAAGGGCACATTTCAGTCACTGGGCATATTAGCCTACAGAGAGTCACTGGCAGGCCTGTGGCCGAAGCAACTCCAATCTAATCCAAGGGTATCGAACTCAAATAAGTCAGAGGGCCAAATTCTCCACCACTCAGCAGTGTCTGGGGACTGCAGTCCTGAGCCAGCACCCTCTGACTCTTTGTCTGAAAAGCTGCATTGTACAGCTGGGGATCCCATGAGTCCCAAAGGCCCTTCTGTTTGACACCCTTGCTCTAATCCATTGGTCTTCGGCTCATCCTGCACTCAGCTCCTCAAGTAGCAGCTCCATTTTCTTTTATGACAACGAGAAAATCAATCAAGAGCGAAAGAAAGAAAGCGAAGGAAGGTCTTATACAATTAAAAAACTAGAAGTTATGTCCCATGTTGCAGGTTAAGGAAAGCTCTTGTGGTTTACTGGTTCAAGGGCAAGGCCAAGACTGGGGAGACTTGGGCTCAAACCTCTATTCAGCAGTGAACCTCACTAGGTGACTTTGGGCCAATCTCTCAGCCTAACCCTCACAGGGTTGTTGTGAGGACAAAGTGGAGGACAGGAGAATCATACATACTTCCCCGAGCTCCTTGGAGGAAGGGTGGGATAGAAATATGAAACAACAGAGAGAAAGAGAGATATAGAGGGTTCACTTGTGTGCTGATCTAAAAGGGTATCGCAGCCCCCTCCTATCTAGGCAGCAGCCTGACTGGGTTTCAGAAGGATCTGCAGGATCCGATGCTCTCCAGTGGCTCATTAGATGAGCTGACAGAGGATTGGAACTCTTGTCTCTCTGAAGCCATTGATGAAATTGCCCCCTGGTGTCCTCTCCGCTCCCGGACTAGATTGTCCCTCTAGTACACTTCAGAACTTAAGGGGATGAAACAGGAGGTGAGACAACTAGAGCGAGTTTGGCGGCGAACTCATGACGCATCTTGTAGGACATATATGAAATCCTATGAGATGGCAGTGAAAACTGTGAAGAAAGAATTCTACTCAGCCTCCATCACATCTGCTAGCTCTCGCCCAGCAAAATTAGGGTGATTAGGTCATTAACATGTCTCACAGAGAGAACCCAAAATATTAGGAATTTGGCTATTAGCTGTGAGGTTTTCACAAGATTTTTCGCTGAGAAAGGTTTGTCGCTCTGCTGTGACCTCCCCGCCAACATTGATACAGTAAAGGAACTGGAGGACTCTTGGCCATCTTTGGATTCGGTCTTTGATAGCTTCAGCCAGCTCTCTTGAGCCGATGTCAACAGGATCCTGGGTGCTGTTAGGCTGACCACAGGCCTCCTAGACCCGTCTCCCTCATGGCTGGTGAAAGCTGGCAATGAGAGGATGCAGGGTCCCCTGGTAGACATTATCAATCTGTCCCTAGATCTGGGGGTCTACTCAGAGGGACTGAAGGAGGCTGTGGTTGTAGTACTCTTGAAAAACCCAACTTTGGATCCTTTAGATCATTCCAATTACCTCCCAGTTTCGAATCTTTCATTTCTAGGTAAGGTCATCGATAGAGCGGTTGCAGAATAGCTCCAGTGTTTCCTGGATGAGACATCAGCCCTGGACCCATTCCAGTCCGGGATGGAGATGGCTTTGGTTGCCCTTACAGACGAGCTCCGCAGGCAGCTGGATCGTGGGTGGTGTTATTGGATCTCACAGCAGTGTTCGACACTGTCTATCACGATCTCTTGATCCACTGCGTTGCTGACACTGGAGTTCGGGGGGGGTAGTCTTGCAGTGGCTTACTTCATTTCTCCAAGGTCAGGGACAGAGGGTGGTGCAGGGTGAGAAGGTAGTATGTGGGGTGCCACAAGGGGCAATCCTCTCCCCGATGCTATTTAACATCTATATGTGCCCCCTTGCCCAACTGGTGCGGAGGTTCGGGCTGGGGTGTCATCAGCTTTATCTGCTGATGTGTGGCCAGCCAGATACCACCCCAGACAGTAGAGGGTGGTGCAGGGAGAGAAGGTATTAGCCAGGTACCCCTTAGTATGTGGGGTGCCACAAGGGGCAATCCTCTCCCCGATGCTATTTAACATCTATATGTGCCCCCTTGCCCAACTGGTGCGGAGGTTCGGGCTGGGGTGTCATCAGCTTTATCTGCTGATGTGTGGCCAGCCAGATACCACCCCAGACAGTCTGGCAGAGGGATTGGGGGCCATGGTGGGATGGTTAAAACAGAGCTGGCTGAGACTGAATCCTTCTAAGATGGAAGTTCTGTGGCTGGGTCAGAGAGATTCAGGTGTGGGGTGTCAACTCCCAGCCCTTAATGGCGTGCCTCTGAGACTGGCACCTGCAGTCAGGAGTCTGGGTGTGACCCTGGATACCTCCTTAACAATGGAGGCCCAGGTCACAAATGTTGCCAGACTGGCATTCTTTCATCTGTGCCAGACTAGACAACTAGCCCTGTACCTGTCTCACCCTGACCTAGCCACTGTAATCCATGCAGTGGTCACCTCCAGACTGGATTACTGTAACTCACTCTACGCGGGCCTACCCTTGAGGCTGACCCAGAAACGCCAACTGGTACAAAATGCAGCAGCCTGGGTCCTTACAGGGACACCACGCATAGCACATATCCATCCAGTGCTGCGTGAGCTGCATTGGGTTCCGGTGGAGAACCAGATCAGATTCAAGGTTATGGTGTTGACCTTTAAGGCTCTTAATGGCCAGGGACCTATGTACCTTCGGGACTGCCTCTCCTGGTATACCCCCAGAAGAGCGTTATGCTCAGGAGATCAGAATTTATTGGTGGTTCCCGGCCCGAGAGACATCCGGCTGTCCAGCCTGGTGGAACTCTCTGCTGAGTAACATCTGCACCCTGTGGGATATACTACAGTTCTGCAGGATGTGCAGAGATGTTCTGTTGGGCGTTTGAAGACAGCAACAGCCCTGTCTTGGCACTCCCATCCTCCTGCCCCCTTCCCCTATGAGACAGCGGCACTGTTAGGATTTTAGCGCCATCTATAGCTAATTAAATTACTGGATTGATCAGACTGGTTATGATGTTTTACTGTTTTAAAAGGTAAAGGTAAAGGTTCCCTTGCTTGAAAGCCAGTCGTATCCGACTCTAGGGTTGCGGTGCTCATCTCCGTTTCAAAGCCGAAGAGCCAGCGCTGTCCGGAGACGTTTCCGTGGTCATGTGGCCGGCATGACTAAACACCAAGGCGCACGGAACGCTGTTACCTTCCCACCGAAGTGGTACCTATTTATCTACTTGCAATTTCTTGCTTTCGAACTGCTAGGTTGGCAGGAGCTGGAACTAGAGACGGGAGCTCACTCTGTCATGCGGCAACCCGGGTCTTGAACTGCTGAACTACCGACCTTCCACAGCCTGCAGTTCAGTGTCTTAACCACTTGAGCCACCGCAATAGTTTATCTGATTATGTTCTACACTGCCCTGAGCCTGGTCCTACTGGGGAGGGTGGTCAATAAATAAAATAAAATAAATAAATAAATAAGGCTTCAGTCCAAATGCCTGTCCCATGGCAGATTTCCACATACATCAACCCAAAGCCATGTCCCCCTACAGACTAATAAACGTCAGCCTGAAAAAAGCAGAAAGCAGCAGAAATTAAGGTGCCCACCCTCACGCTCCCAATGGGCCACCTCAGACCAAGGAATATGTTACTAAAGCAATCCACAGAGGTCAGGCAAACCAGGCAAACCTCGCACTGCAGATACAGGCATAAAGAACAGCCAAAAAGCGAAACAGAATTGCTCCTTCTGGACTCCAGACAACGTGGCCAGAATTCAAGGTAACCCCTCTATCACAGTGCCTTCCCACCAGCAATTTGGCTCCATCCGCTGGGCATGCATTCAAGGCACTTACTCATCATTCAGCCCACAGCGTCGAGTGGTGGGGTTTCCATATTTCGTGAGGGTGTCGGTGAGTTCCTGGTACAGGGTGTCCCCCAAAGAGCGAGGGATTCCCTCCCAGGCCAGAATCAAGATGATGATGACAGCATTCTGGCAGTGGTGGCCGGCACGGTGCCGCACCAGGCACAACAGCTTCTCATCTGCGTTGTGTCTCCTGATGACCTGGAGGGTGGCAGAGGACATTGGTTGTTTAAGGAAATGACACACATGGACGCGACCCAAGTGGCTGTTCTGCAGCACAAACAAGCCTTTTACGCAAGATGATTCCTATGCTTTGCCAAAGGGATCAAAGAAAATGAGCCAGATCAGTACAATGAATGCTTATTTTGTATCAACTCCCTAAAACTGGTCTTGAGTTTTGGGTCTGGAGGACTGTGGGCAGTATCTGGTAACTTTCTTGCATGGTGATGGGAAAAAAAGGAAACAGATCACTCTTCAGCCAAGTTTGTGAGGTAAAAAGCCACTTACCCACTTAGCAATAGGGCAACCACGGGAACTTTTCCCCTCCTTCCCTGTATAGATCACCTTTTCGATTCTGATGGCTTTCCCCTTCTCACCATACCTGGTTGAAGAAAAAAAATATCACAGTTCTTGTGCAAGAAGAACAAAAATAGGGTCTATGATGGAAAGCTCTGCTCCAGCGGGTCTATCCAAACAATTAGAAATCACTTCCTAAAAGATGGAGAATTATTAGAACTTGTGGGTTTCCGATGGGTGTGTTGTAGTTAATGGGTATGTTGTAGTTAATTTTCCCAGGCTTGTTTCCACCTCTACACCACACAGTGCTGTCTTCTCAAGTTAACACATCAGACTTTAGGCAGAGGCACTGTGATGGATCATGTTCAGTAAACAACAATAACCACACCATTATGCCAAACTTCAATATGATGAAGGAGCTGGTTCAAACCCTGTTTCCTCCACAAAGCTCACAAGTGATCTTGGGCCAGGCACATTTTTACAGCAGAACCTACCTCACAAAGACCTTTTCCACATGGTTTTGATATTGCTGGGAAGCGAGTTTCTTTGCTGATTCGTCACAGCACTGTGGGACATTCGTGCACCTCTCAGGTTTCCCCCAGCTTTTCAGCTTTCCTTCCCAAACCTGCTTTGCTGCAAAGGTTTGGAAAAGACTGCATGAATGCCTGGATGGCTGCCATGTGGGCAGGAAGACTTGGATTTTGCTGATCCTGTCCCTGTGGGCAGCCATTTTCGCTGTCCTTGCCTTCATAGTGGCCTTTCTCCTGTGCCATCGGGGGACCTTTTCTTAATTGCTACTTGAATATCATTATAACAATCTATGTTTCAAGTTCTCTGAATTCTCAGCTTTCATTTTTTAAAAAAACTTCCTAATCCCTTTCATTGTGGAGATATAAGAGGAAAGGTATATTTCTGCAATGAAAACAGCTACAGACTAACTTGAAAAAAAATAAAGCTGAGAATTCAGCAAACCTGATACAGTGGCTGAATATTGCTACAGCAGCATTAACCTGCTGATTTTAAATAAACTGGAAAGAGGCTGTAGTAGCGCAGGGGTGGGGGCTGCTGCCAGGGGACTGAGGCAGGGAGAGATATGGGGAAAACCACTGTGTGGAAACCCAGTTGCTGCTGCAGTGTACTGGCAGCCGCAGCAGCAGTGTAGTAACCACACAAGCCTGTCCCCTTGGGGAAAACCCTGAATTTTCTGTGAGGATGTAATGGGATAATCCCACATGTGCCACCCTTAGCTCTTTGTATGAAGGGTAGGATGTTAATGGGACAGAAAGAGAAAGCAAATGTAATCATATGATAAGAGAGCCCCTGTCAACAGAAAAGCAATAATACTTAGTATTATGAGTGTATGCTCTGTTACCCTTTGGAACAACTCAATAAGGTAGGCCAATATTATTATCTCACCTTGCAGACTTCCCATTACCCAATTTTCAGGAACTGAAAAATGAAACACCATAACTTTTTGCATATTCAATATTTTTCTATTTCTATTTCAAAGCAAAGGCCACTATGTGAACAGTTTCAGTGCCCTGCAGCCATTACTGTTTTCAATTAGGGCCATGGACTTCTGCTGCTGGGGCGGGGGGGGGGCTGCTAACTCCCCTCTATAACATTTGGCTGCTTGCCCAGAATCATTAAGGCCTGAAATAAAATGGGAATGGAGCTGAGATGTTAAGACTCTAGTTAGGGACAGGAATACAAGAAATGGATTGCAATGCTTTTTTGCAAGACCCTTTCCCCCATTTTTCACATTGGAGAAACTAGAACTATTGGGAAGTGCTGGAAAACTCCTATGAAATCTTTTTGATCGAGTGGAGTGCTTTTTGACCTGGTTTTACAGAATATGTAATGTAAAACTTTTTATGTAAGACAATCTACAGCATTAGATATAGAAAATTCCTTTGTATACTGTAGACATATAGGGTTCTATCCAACCAGCTTTTCTGGTGGTAACTGAATGACAAAGCTAGCTGGATCCAACCCACGTAACTTTTTCAAGAATCAAGTCCAGTAGAGACTGACAAGTTTTTTTGAGGTATAAGCTTTCAAGAGGCAAAGCTCCCTTTGTCAGACAGCTCTGACTCTCGAAAGTTTAGTCCTCAGAAATCTTGTTGGTCTCTAAGGGACTTGATTTTAGCTGTTTTACTGTACACCAACACAGCTACTCTCTGATGCAATTCTTTTCAAGGACAGATTTATTGCTGATGACACCCAGCTCTACTTCTTTATCCTTGAACTTTCTCCATCCATTCAAAGCTATCTCTCCAAATGCCTGCCTGGATATTTCTTTGTATATGTTTTGTCACCATATCAAAGTCAAACTGTCCAGGGCTGAAGTTCCCATCATCCCTCATTTGTATTCTCATCATTCCCACTGTCAATACCCCCATCCACCCTTCAGAACAGGTACAAGGCCTTGGCTTTACTTTAGACTCTGCTCTCTCTCTCTCTCTCTCTCTTTGTGTCTTAGCTGAAGTCCCGTCGCTTCTCCGTTTACATTTAAAGTATTGCAAAAATATGTTCATTTCTACTTCAGTGAAAAAAACTGTTCTGCATTCGTACTCCACTGATTTCTCATTTTGATCACAGCATCCGCCTTCTCTCTGGTCCTCTGCTATTTCATTTCAACCTCCCCAAACCTCTGTTCAGTTCTCTGCCTTTGTTCTGACCATACAATGCTCCTACCTAGAATCCCTACAAGGGCATCCAGTTTACTTCTGTATCCCTCCATGTAGTCTCCCACCCAGCTTCTCTTTCCATTCTCCTATGCTGATACATCCCTGCTTGTGATCTTCAGCTCTACCCCCCTCAGCTATCTCCTGCCTTCTGCAACAACCTTGCCCTTCCTTACCTGCTTTCCATGAAACTTTGGCCACACCTTTTACAGCCCTCTTCCCCTACTGGAACTAAGCCTAAACATTTGCAATTGGAATGGATACACCTTCTCTCTTCCTGACCCATTGCTCCTCCTCCCCTTCCCTCCCTTTGTAGTATCCCCTCCCTGACTGTAAGTTTCTTGGATACAAAATATACAAACTATAACAAAGATTTTAATGAACTATACCTCATGTGTTCAATATCTATAAAATTCTGTTCTATGAAACACCTAGTTTCTATTATCAACCATATGGTTCCCCTATACAATATATTTCATGTCATATCAAAAGGCTCTAGTTTAAGCTTAAATATACAAGACCTCAATAATTTCTACAACAACTGGAACGTCTGAATTCACAACATATATAATTCAACAGTTAAATTTAGCAACAAAGTCCAATGCAGTACATCAGGTCACTTAACTCCAATTTTACAGGTGAAAATTCAACAGGTAAGTTCAACAGGAGAATCCAAAGTTGTGCATCAGGTAGGTTAACTCTGGTTACGATGTCCTCTTTATCCTTTGGCTTCTCTCCATTGAATTATGTCAGTTTCACTTCTGGCTTTTACTTTAGGTTTATTAATTTCACTTCTGGCTTTAAATTTTGGTTTAACAGGTAATCCGGTGGCCCCTGTTTCCAACCATGATTCTTCAGAAGCTGTATAAATTGATATCATTTTAAATAGAAAAGCATCAAATTGATATTATTTCAAACAGAAATTCCTGTGTTCTTTTCAATCAGGTTCTCATGAATGACTTCTCTACCTTATGAAGAAAAACTCTTAAGCTCACCTGTGCTTTCCAATCGTGTGCATCGCACATCCTGGTGCCTACCTAAAAGCCAGAAGTGAAACTGACATAATTCAATGGAGAGAAGCCAAAGGATAAAGAGGACATCGTAATCAGAGTTAACCTACCTGACGCAGTACTTTGGATTCCCCTGTTGAACTTACCTGTTGAATTTTCACCTGTAAAATTGGAGTTAAGTGACCTGATGTACTGCATTGGACTTTGTTGCTAAATTTAACTGGTGAATTCAGATGTTGCAGTTATTGTAGAAACTACTGAGGTCTTGTATATTTATGCTTAAACTAGAGCCTTTTGATGTGACATGAAATATATTGTATAAGGGAACCATATGGCTGATAATAGTGATAGAAACTAGATACGTCATAGAATAGAATTTTATAGATATTGAATCACCTGGGGTATAGTTTATTAAAATCTTTATTATAGTTTGTATATTTTGTATTCAGGGTGTGCTTTGTATCTTTCATTTCCCAAACACCGTGGTTCCTTGTATTGTTTGCAAGGTTCTTGGGACAGGGACCAGATGCATTGACAGCGCTATGCAAAATAAATGAAAAGGACTGTGCTGCCCACTCTCTCACTGGCAGGGGTGGCCTTTGAGCTGCAACATACAGAGTGAACAAAATCTACTTTGTGTGGGAGCTTTCGGTAGCAACAGCAACTGCTGCCTAAAGGTTCTTTTCCTACCCACATCTTTCCTCCCAGTGAAAGCTTGCCAACCCTGGAAGTTGAGTCAGGTGATACAGAGTACACATGACTCAGCAGCACTGTCTTGAGGTATGACTCAGCATGTTCAGGAGGCTATGAGTCAACTGCAGGGGTCTAATAACACCACTTTTAATGAGAGTGCCCACCTGCACATGGTTTGCAAGGTTAATTCTTCTCTGCTTCCTTTGTCCAGGCAATGTACAGCTTAATCTCAAACAAGCTTCAATAAAGGCATGTCTAATATCAAAATGTTCAGGAACAACATTCCCTTCTGTATGTGACTCAATACCTCTTAAAATTATTTAGAGATGAATGAATCAATAATCATCTGACAGAGCAGATCACAGAATCATAGAGTTGGAAGGGACCTCCAGGGTCATCTTGTCTAGCCCACTGCACAATGCAGGAAATTCACAAATACCTCCCACCCAGACCCCCAGTGACCCCTGCTCTATGCCCAGAAGAGGGCAAAAACCCCGACCCTCCAGGATCCCTGGCCAAACTGGCCTGGAGAACAAGATCTCAAGCTTCTGTTCAATATATAATATTCTGATGTATGTACAATTCAAAATGTACTATAGCCAAACTAAGCTCACTCACAACTTTAATGCCAGCCAACCCCAACAGCCATGACCCAGGTGTGACATTCCTAGCATGATGATGTCATCACACCGTTGACATTGCATGGCAACATTCTGGTATTTTGGGCAAAACTCTATGGTAACTCTATAGTATTTTGGGCAATGTTGCCCCGAAGCCCCAGTCCTGGGAAGCTCCCTCCCACCCCCGCCAGCAGAAGAAAAGGACCTGGCTACCCTATGTTCAGAGCAATGCTCCCTCTAAGCTGTGGAGTCCTGTGAGCAAAAATTCCACTCTGTGAGCTACTGGCATTAAAGTTGTGAGCGAGCGATTTGGCTGCTGCATAAATTAGTTTGCTCTGGAGCCATCCTTCCTGAGCTAGGACAAAAATGTGTGAGCCGGAGGCTAAAAAACTGTGAGCCAGCTCACACTAATCAGCTTAGAGGGAACACTGGTCCAGAGGGTTAATATTCTGACAAAGCATTTTGTGCAGAATTGTGACAGTTGTGAATTTCATCTCCCTCTTACATTTAATGAACTGCACATATTCTGTGACTTACCGGTCCTCCATGAGTTCCCTGATGGATGCCACAGTAGGTCCAGACCCCAGGTGAGTGTAATAGGGCCCCTCATCTTTCTCAACTATTTGTTCTGTTTAAAACAAAGAACAAAAAACAGTCCATTATGTTATTTCAGCCTCTCTATGCTTAAAGGGAGCGGGGATTGTCGAATGGGGTGTCAGGGGACCCACCAATGCCATGCAAAGAAGGGAGCAAAACAATGGCATCCTGGTCTACAACTCCATGTAACTTTGGTTGCTGAATGTTGTCAGTCTTTGCCAGGCTCACAGAAGCCCTGCCAGGTAGGTCAGGTGGTGGTTGCCTGGTCTCAATCTGTCCTGAAACTTCAACATTTGAGCTGCCTTCTCACTAGCCCTCTTCAGACAACGTATCAGTGTTGAAATCAACACAGCGTGCTGGACCTGCCAACATATGATTTCTGATTCGGAGCATGACATCTACATGTGTACAAAGTGTTATGTGCATAGGCTCCATCCCCCTGATCAGCGTTGTCTGAAAAAGCAGTGTGCCTAATCATGGGGTCAGAGCCCACACACAGAGATCCTGTGCTCATGATCTGCCAATTGTGCGTGGTGGTTGGGCAAAGCTAGTGTGCTCATTCCGGCTCCCTCTGAATATATACCCTGATTTCAGTGTGCAGATATTACCTGAGCAGGAGGAGAAGTAGAAGGCTATGCCTATTAGCTTGGAGGAAAGTTTTTGCTCTTAGTTGCACTTCCTCATTAAGTTCCACTAGGCGCCTCTCCTTACCTACCAGGTTCCACCTCCTGATGCGCCATGTACCTCCAAAGCTCTTTCCACGGAGTCCCAGGGTCTGAGCCTCAGGACATTTCAACACTTTCCATCCTAGCATTTTTTACTGGCGCCAGCGAAGCAGTGCATGAGCTGAGAGGCAGGCCTAGGATTCTTTGCAACATCCCAAGAAAGCTGTGGTGTAACTCCCTATTGCACAATCTCAGAGTTGCTCTGAATCCACCTTTGCTACATTGTGCAAGATTAATAAGGGGAGCACCACTTAGGGTGGCAAATGTACCAAGGCTGGTCTTGGCTTTGTTTCTACCCTCCTAAAAGCACAGTTGCATCCAGAATGCATATGGGGATGCACGGTGTGAGCAGAGTGAGTCTGCTGTAGGAAAACATTAATCACAGTTACAACACATGTAGTATCTTCTCCCCAGGATCAGTTTCAAGGGGAACCTGTTTTCCCTGCTAGACCAGAAGCTAGATTGACTGTTCCTTGTGTCAATCACCAAGCCACCTTCCCTTTCTCCAGGCACATTTGAAAGGGCGAACACACAGAAAGAACCTTTAAAAACAATAGAACAAACATACTTGGATTGCGTAACTATGCCAGGAGCTTGAGGTAAAAAAGCCACAAAGCAGACAGGAAGGAGATGCATCTTTTGATCAGAGCCCGATCCATTTGCCACCGGAGGAGTGAGGGTGGGGGAAGGGGAGCTGAAAAGAAGCCCTGTGCCTGTTCCTCTTTCTACACACATGTTCTATACCCAGCCAGGGAGCAAATCTAAGCAAGATTTTGGCCATGCTTTAAAAATCTTCTGGTCTACAGTGCTGAGTCTAACAAGAATCAGGTCTGTTCAATGGGACTTACTACCAGGGAAATGTTCTTACTATTGCAATGCCAGTCATTTCATCATGCCACATTAACTCTCCAAGCTCTCTCTTTGATTTGATTTCAAAATCAGATTAAGTTATTTCTCCCAGCCCCCAAAATAAAAAGTTTTCTGTTCCCTGTTTCTTCAGAAGACCCCAAGTGTGAGACTCTGAAGAACAGGAAGGGACATGTTTCATTCTCTCTTTGCAAGAAACTTCCTAATGATAGTTCTGTTGAATCAACCAACCACATAGGAGCCGAAAGTAACTTTCTTTAACATGTGTCTTTGCTACCTACAGACCCCTGCCACACCGGGGGGGGGGGGGGGGGGAGGCGGCCAAAAAA